TTTGTTTCTGCTTGTTTGTTTCTGGCTCTGCTCGTGAGTGGATCTTTTTGTTTCTACTTGTTTGTTTCCAGCCAAGGAAGATTAAAGAAGAGTGAAGACTTTGAAGATTTTGGTTTCTGGTTTGGAATTCAGGAAGAAGAGAAAGCAATTGAAAACAGAAAGGTTAGAGAACCAATCACACACACCGCCTCAATCTTCCAGTTTTTTTTCACCGTAAGTGTTTTTTTGCTTGATTGATGTGTGTTATCAACTTATCACCGGATTGTCACCGTATGTGTTTTTTTGGATTGGCACCGGATTGTCAACGTTGATCAATCTGCGTGTTTTTTTGTTTTTTCACCGTATGTGTGTTGGACTCCAAACCAACATTAACACAAATCTGAAATAAAAGCATGAGAAAGAAATAAACTTTGTTGTGTTATCACCGGTTTGGAATTCCAACATTTCAGTCGTCCATGAGAAAGAAGGTTTAGTTTTGTTGTCGTTTTTAGCGTGAGAAAGAAGGTTTTTAGTTTTGTTGTCCAACATTTCAACATTTAGTTTTGTTGTTGTTTTATCACCGGTTTAGTTTTGTTATCATTTCAGTTGTCCACGAATCCACCTCTTGATGGCTGCATGTTGAATTTTTCCTGCCTGAATTAATGGTTGCATGTTGAATTTTGACGCAGGGCAGGACTGAGGAGCTACTGCCTCTTGTTCAATTTAGCAATCTTACTCTCTCGTTTTCTTCTGAAGGTTCATTTGAGGAGGAGCTGCTGCCTCTTGGTAAGTTCTAGCCTTGATGTTTCAATGCAGATGTTAATGTATTTATAGGCAAAAATTGGGGTTGTTTTGAATTTTTTTGCAGCACAGAGCCTTATAGTGGCAGGGCTTCCACGTTTTGAATTTTTTTATTTGTATGAAAGCCTAACTTTGAATGCTGATTATGTCTTGAAATCTAATAAATCTTAGAGTTTTCTGTTTTTGATTGCCTGGTTTTGTTTCTGCTTGTTTGTTTCTGGCTCTGCTCGTGAGTGGATCTTTTTGTTTCTACTTGTTTGTTTCCAGCCAAGGAAGATTAAAGAAGAGTGAAGACTTTGAAGATTTTGGTTTCTGGTTTGGAATTCAGGAAGAAGAGAAAGCAATTGAAAACAGAAAGGTTAGAGAACGGTTTGGAATTCATGTGTTGCTTGCTTTCTTCAATGTTAAAATATAGTTTAAGTTTCTTTCACGCGAACAATGCAACATATATATATATATATATATATATGTAATATGCACAAACAATCTGTTAGGAACAAGTTTAGAAGGAGACTAGTTGATATGTGATATGTTTGCTTTTATATGTGATATGTTAGAAACAATCTGTTAGGAACAATATGTTAGGAACAATCTGTTAGGAACAAGTTGCTTTTATATGTGATATGTTGGCTTTTCACTAGACGTTGAAAATGTGATATGTTATCTATTTTTTAGGTTACTTGCGTGCTAGATGGAAAAATTTATCATCCACCCGACAAAAACTTCTGAAAGCACTTGCAAGTCCTCTGTTGAAACAGAAAGTGTCTCTATGCCTAAAGAGCTCATTACCTTGCCCACTCCCACACCCAACCCTACCCCTGTACCTAATTTGGGCACTAAAATTGAAAACGAAAAAGAGGAGGAAGACAATAAGAAGGGGAAGAATTCACAAAAAAAGTCTCCTGTTTGGGATCATTTCAAAATCATAGAGGGTGGGGATCCAAATGAGCCTAGGTGTAAGTGTATTTATTGTGGAGCAACATATGTGTGTGATAGTAAGAGACACGGTACCAGTAGTATGAAGGTTCACATAGAAAATCAATGCAAGAAATACCTATATAGGAACCAAGACAAAAGGCAAAAAACTCTGAGTTTCTAAACAAATACTGAAACTGGAAGTAGTCTTGTTGCTATAGGCTTTAACAAGGAGCATTGCAGAAAAGCGTTAGCAAAAATGGTGATTGTAGATGAGCTTTCATTTAGGTTTGTTGAAGGTGAAGGATTTAAGAATTTTTGTCAAGTGATGCAGCCTAGGTTCTCTATCCCCTCCCGTGTTACGATTGCTAAGGACATTTACCAACTTTTCTTGGAAGAGAGGAAGAAACTAAGGGCTGAATTTAGTAAGGGCAGTCAAAGGATTTGCCTAACAACTGATTGTTGGACATCCGTGCAAAATATTAATTATTTGTGTCTAACTACACACTACGTTGATAGTGAGTGGACTTTGCAAAAAATGATTATAAACTTTTGTCAAATTTCAAGTCACAAGGGAGAGAGTGTTGGTAAAGTCATTGAGTCATGTTTGCATGCTTGGGGTATTGAGAGAGTCTTCACCATGACTGTTGATAATGCCTCCTCAAATGACTCCATGATTACCTACTTGA